AGAAACTTGTTGAACATTTTGTTTCAACTGTGAGCAGCTACAGTTGTGATTTCACATTTGGTCAGGCAATGGAAACAGATGGCACTGATGTTATGTAAGGAGTGTGCTGAGGGACGGATGCTCATGAGTGAGTGGATTTACAAGCACCCTGTCCCAAAAGGTTCTTAACCSTTTTTATAGCTTGGTAACCTGTAGACAAAAGCTATCTAGACTTTTAACAATACCTGCAAAAACTGCATGGATTATTTCAGAACACCAGTAAAGAAATCTGGTATATTATTAGTTAATTAGTAGATACTTTTCAACATATGCTATTGTCAATATTTGAATACATTGTAAATCTCATTAATTTCCAACTTATCCTGTTTTGTGGAAAGGGTGGTAGTTTATGAAAATTTGACAAGAACCAATCTAACACATCAATACAGTCTCACTCTAAAATGCTTAACTGCTGCTGTTGTTCATATTACTGAACACAATGATCATAAAACAGGTGCATTTACATTTAAAAATCRGCCCTTTTTACACAAAAATATGTATATTTGCCACTTCACCCAAATACCTATAAGGAGGTGTTGGGATCAAACAAGTCTTTTTTTTTATTCTTTAAACACAGTACAAGTAATTCAAAGTGCAAAAGCAAAATGTAGCAGTCAATATGGAAAACCAAGGACTTGACATAGAATAAGTGATAAGTATGAATTAAATACAGAGGAGCAAAAGACTAATAAGGTGATATGAACCAGGTGTGAACTCAAGTGTCAATGTGCAACAAAATAAAATGGGTAACTGGGAAAAAGCAAGAGCTAAGATCAAAAGGTTTTGGATTTTGCAAAAACATGAACAGAAGCCGTTGAAGTAGGATATCGTAAAACTTTAGAACAAAAACTTAAATCGAAAAAACTGAAAACAAAATACACTCAATCAAACTCAACCATATACTATCACAAGCTGGGAACAGACAATGTCATACTGTAAATCCCTAGACTCCCTGGTATCAAACCCAAGTTTGAACCTTTTACCCACATTTTATTTAAAACTCCTCTACTTTGTTGGGTTGTCTAATAATGAATATCATTTTAAATGTTCTAGTTCTAGAAATTGATTGTATGTTTCAGTGGAAAAGTGTTTTGTACTGTTATTGACAGATCTATGCACAAAAAAATCTGACAGATTTTTCTTTCATTAGGAAGGAGCAGATTCTTTCGCTTCCGCCAAGCTGCGTTGAGCTTAATAAATACCAACAAGCAATCTCTTCCACAAGAGGACCCAGACGCTGTGACGGTGGACTCTCCCAAAGAGGATGAGGACTCAGTGGCCTTGGAGAGCTTCCCCTCGCCCACAAAGAGCATTTGTAGTCCAACTGAGGCCAATGACACGCGCGCCCTCATAGGCTCCAGCCGCCACTCCTCCCAGGCCAGCATCGGCCCTGAACCACTTGACCACTCATCCCTTAAACTCCCGTGGGACAAGCTGTACCAGACCGAGCCGCACCAGTCCTCCAGCTCCCTGTCAAACACCTTCCCCAGAGGCAGCACCAGCAGCATGAGGAGAGCCTCATCCATCCATGAAATTGAGGGCTATAGCTCCAATTCCAAGAGTGTATTCGGGGACCGGCAAACGAGTGAAGGTATGTATTACAGCAGTGAATCCTAATTGGAGACATAAAGTTGTCCAAGGTGTGCAATAACAGCAAGGATGGCTAGTTTAACTAATTAGAAACTGAGAATAAATTAGAACAAATTAAAGAAATGTCCTCACTTCAGGTTTGGGCAGAACAAGTTAACAGTTAATTAAAACTAAGAAGAAAAAATATATCTTGTAGCTAAAAGCAGAGTCATTACCTTATCGTTGCAAAACTAAATCTAGGATAGCAGTCTAAAAACCACAACTTCTAACTTGATGTGATCTCACTTAAGTATTTTTACTTTGCTTTTTTTGATTATGTATTGAGAGCAGTGGATAAATGGTAAATCGTAAATGGACTGAACTTATAGAGCGCTTTATCAAGTCCCTCCGGACCGCAAAGCGCTTTACACTTACAGACATTCACCCATTCACACACACATTCACACACAYGTTATGCTCAATTGCCAAACTCACAACTTCAAATAACAGCTCACAAACTACAGTGGCTAATGTGTAATATTCACTTTCTGCACCTCATTAACAAAAACAGCTAAAACTAGCTGTGTTGTAGTACATGTTCCATTTGCAAGGAAAAAAAGGTAAGAAATATCCTGTGGTTTCTGCATTATCCATATATGCCAGAACACATTAGTCAGCGTTTCTGTATAAGTATAGGAGACCACTTCCAGTCTATAAATAGACCTAAAGGATCCAGAGCTCTATGTGTCACAGTTATGTCACCCTGCTGTCTTAAACATAGAGATAAGGTTTAAATGTACAAGTTCTTTCAGTCTTAAGTCAGTCTATGTTCAGAAATAGTGATAAATTCATCATTATACAAAAAATATATTCAAACTTCGCCCTCTCTCCATCTCCCCCCTTTAAGTGTTTTAGCATTTTCAGGCAATCATTTATAAATAAGAAATTGTTCCTAATGTTTTGTCTGGTGAAATAAAGGTTAAATATAAAATGTCCTAATACTGCTATTTCTCATCACAATTTTATAATCAAAACCAAGACATGTTTTAGTTTATCTTAATTCATGTAAGTATTTTTATTAATTACCAGGTCCTTTCAACCACGTGAAGTCCAGTCTGCTTGGTTCTACCTCGGATTCAAACATCAACAAATACAGCACCATAAACAAGCTCCCTCTGATCGCGCTCAACTTCTCCGAGATAACGGAGAAGAAGCCTCATTCTCCACCAACATCAGAGAAAACCATCATAGCACCTAAGGTCAAAGACCGAACTCACAATGTCACAGAGAAGGTTACACAGGTGAGTCCAAAAAATAAGAATTTGTAAACGGATTGTGCCACATTTCTCAGTAATCTTTGCATCAGCTGAGGTTTGATACCTAATTTTTAGGGGTGCAACAATACATGTACCCATATCGAACCAAACCGAACCGTATCGAACAATACAGATTTTAAAATTTTACTTTATCAACTTGTCTTCTGAAGATGCTCTGTGTTAAAGGATCAGTGGATCTGTGTTCGACTACTCCACCTAGGCTGCATTTTTGAGCGCAGATCCACTGAGAAACKTGCTGTTTCAGCAACATTTAATTTAAAAACTGTTCTTATGAGGTTAAACAAATGTTCATAATTAATATAAATAAATTACAAGTTAAAAGGGGCATGGAAATTTCTCTTTTTTGTATCGAAAAAATATCGAACCGTGAGACTAAAGTATCGAACCTAACTGAACCGTGAATTTTCTGTATCGTTGCACCCCTACTAATTATGTGTCAGTTTAAATTAAAGTTGTCCTCAACACTGAGCTAATCTCACCTGTAAATCCTTAAATCTTTGTATGTTTATGTTTGTAAGCTGATCCAGTTCACTTCTTATTCGACACGTACACATTTTACTGAACGGATCACAAAGATGTTCAGTGTGAGCTTTGGTGTTGTTTGAATATGCAGTTAGTTTATTCTGGACAAAAACTGTTTTTTTACACTTCAGCAGTGTGAAGCATGTGATGTGTTTAGGAAAAAGAAATGAGTTAATGCCATGCCACCCACTTCCTCAAAGAAATGACCAGCTTGTGATAAACACTGCTGTGAAGTGTGGGCAAAGTTAAACACTAATGTGTTCTTTTGGTGATTAATTATGAGTGTATCAGTGTCTTAAAAGCTTTTTAGGACATTGTTTGACTGAGAAAAATTGGGAAAAATACTTTTTACTTTTTGTTCATTTATGAGGTGATAGGGGGAGAAATCTGTGTTGGCTTTCTCCAACAAAAGGCTTTTGATGTTGAAAGAGCTAGAGAAACTTATAGAAAACTGGAAATATACTGAAGTATTTATTTTTGGGAGAAGTCAGGGTAGAATTGCTGAAACCATCAAATTCTTTTGATTTGCTTCGCTTTAGCAGCAAACTGCTGGCAACACGCTGGAGAAAGTGTCTTCTGCTGGCTGTTTTTCGGGGGGAAGGCACTGATATAGCAAAAAGAAAAATTGGTTTCTATGACAATGATGAATACATTTCTAGTTGAACTTATGATTTAAGACAAGTCAAATTACTCATTTGATCATTAAGTATTTGTCAAAAGATTTGCTAAAACCTCTCTGTGGTTTTCATTAAATTTCCCTTAATTTATATTGAAGTCTGTGTTGCGTCTGGCACAAAATGTTTGGATTAGAAAGTCTAAGAAAGGAAAAAAAAACATTTATCTGTATTTTAGGGGAAGAAAAATGTGCATATTGAATAAAAACTGTGGGTTTTGTTATGGGTGGAATTTTTTTTTTCTTCTTCTTGGCATGCTCCACTTCTGAGAAATGTTTGTATATTAATGAAGGATATTTTGTGACTGATCTGCTAAATTTTAGATAGAGCCAAAGCTGACGTAAGATGGACAACCCCTAGGGGTGTGAGCAGGTTTTTCTTTATGAATAGTCTAAGGACAAGTAAACTCTGGACCATTTTGTTTTACACTGGGAAGTACAGACAGGCTTCTGAGTATTTACCATTATTTAACCAGGCAAAATCCATTGAGATCACAGATCTCTTTTTCAAGGGTGGCCTATACCTGAAGGCAACCTATTGTACATATATTTATATAACCAGAGTACCCAGAGGAAACCCATACAAGTACAAGGAGAACACACAAACTCCACCCAGAAAGACCCCAGGTCCGAACAAGGGATCAAAACCAGGATCTTATTGCTGTGAGGCGTCAGTGCTAACCACTGATCTATTGTGCTGCCCAAGTATATTGGAATCTTTAGATCTGAAAATAAGTATTTAACTTGGTTTTCTGCAAATTACTTAGGCAACCAATTTTCTTATACTATAGTTCTTAACATGTTACCCTTTTCATTTGACTGTCCTCCACAACTACCCAGAAAAAAATATTTAAGAAATAGAACAAAATGTGTATAATAAAAGTCAAAAAGTCAACTATCAGAAACGCACATCACGATTTTTAGTAATATTTGCTTTTATTGCAAAAATACAATCCACAAATACCTAAAAAATCTTTCATAATAAGCTAAAAGAAAAACCTTTGGGACAACAGTATATGGCAAGGCTGTGCTTTGCTGGAATCCCCTCAACAAAAACAGGCAGTGAAAGGAACTTTGTGGCCCATTRAAGTAAAGGGTACCTACTGACCCGTATGAATGAGATGATTGAGCTGCAATTACACCTGATGGAGTAGATTGGCAATGAGAAGTTTGGGTTACCAGCTCAGTATTCACYGTGAGACTCAGTTACAGGATAATGTGAACTACTGTAGTAACAGTTTTTATGTCTAGTTAATAAAAAGGAGGGTTAAGTTTTCCTGTAGGATGCAGGTCTTTCTTGTACACTGATCCTTTTAAGATAAACTAGCAAAATAAAAAATAAAAAACTCTTGTTTACTGTAAAAATATTAAAGGCGACTTAAAAGGTACTTGTACACTAGAAAAAAAACTGTCCCAGTTTGTAGCTCAGTGCCATTTCATCAACAAGCAGGCAAAAAGAAGCTCWAACATCTTATATTCAAACTTCATTCAACATACAGCAGCGTTCTCATTCATAAATGAAGAACCTTCATCTTGGTTAAATGGTCTTCCTCTCCCTGCAGAGTTTGATTTGAAGTTGGGAGACTCTGCTGACATACGAACGCTGCAGCTGCTTCCGGACTGCTGGCACGGCCAAATCTATAATTCATGGGTTGAAGTTGGGGAAAGTGCTGAGAAGAATGGAAAGACTCATTGCCCTCTTCCTTACTCCGGCACTACTTTCTGTCTGTAGAGAGTCCTTTCTCTGCCCGCCACAGGTCATTAAACCAACAACAGGGGAGAGCCTTGGCATTCCTGAGCACAATAAATATTTAACCATCCAGACAGGGCTTAGTCATTTGACAACATTAAAAACAAACATTACATGATAACACAATACTTCATATTTTCCTTTTTTTATCAACTTTACAGTAAAGGATTTTTCTAGGAATACAGGAATATTTTTCTCAGTAAATATTTTACTAGAGGTGCTAATGACATGAAATTTTCACCAGATGTCGGTAACAACCCAAGTGATCCATACATACAAAGAAATCAACCATAAATGTCCAGAAATGAAGTTATTTGTAATAATGTGGAATGGCACAGGGAAAAAGTATTGAACACATGAAGAAAGGGAGGTGTAAAACGGCATGGAAAGCCAAGACACCAGCTGAACTCTCTCAGTAATTAGAAAGCAAGCCTGCCCCTTGTCAGTGCAAATTAATATCAGCTGGTTCAGTCCCAAACAATGGCCAGGTATCACACAAGAAMCATCTGATGATGGGTAAAAGTAAAGAGCTCTCTCAAGACCTTCGCAACCTTATTGTTGCAAAGCATAATGATGGCATCGGTTACAGAAGAATGTCTAAACTTCTGAAGGTTCCAGTGAGCACTGTTGGGGCCATAATTCAGAAGTGGAAAGAACATCATTTCACCATAAACCAACCACGACCAGGTGCTCCTCGCAAGATTTCTGACAGAGGAGTGAAAAGAATTATTAGAAGAGTTGTCCAAGAGCCAAGGACCACTTGTGGAGAGCTTCAGAAAGACCTGGAATTAGCAGGTACGATTGTTTCAAAGAAAACAATAAGTAATGCACTGAACCACCATGGCCTGTATGCACGCTCACCACGCAAGACTCCACTGCTGAAGAAACAGCATGTTGAAGCTCCTTTAAAGTTTGCTGCACAACATTTAGACAAGCCTGTGTAATACTGGGAGAATATAGTCTGGTCAGATGAGACCAACATTGAACTGTTTGGATGCCAGAATACACATCATGTTTGGAGGTCAAATGGCACTGCACATCAGCCCAAAAACACCATACCAACAGTGAAGTTTGGAGGTGGGAACATCATGGYGTGGGGCTGTTTTTCAGCATATGGTACTGGCAAACTTCAAATAATTGAAGGAAGGCTGAGTGGAAAAATGTACAGAGACATTCTTGATAAAAATCTGCTTCCATCTACCAGGATGATGAAGATGAAACGTTTCTGGACATTTCAGCAAGACAATGWGCCCAAACACAAAGCCAAGGAAACTCTCGGTTTCAGAGAAAGAAAGTAAAGCTGCTGGAATGGCCCAGCCAATCACCTGACCTGAATCCAACAGAAAATCTATGGAAAGAACTAAAGATCAGAGTTCATAAAAGAGGCCCATGAAACCTTCAAGATTTGAAGACTGTTTGTGTGGAAGAATGGGCCAAAATCACACCTGAGCAATGCATGCCACTAGTTTCTCCATACAGGAGGCVTCTTGAAGCTGTCATTGACAACAAAGGCTTTTGTACAAAGTATTAGATAAATTACACTAAGTGTGTTCAATACTTTTCCCTGTGTCATTCCACATTATTAAAAATAACTTCATTTCTGGACAATTATGGTTTGATATCTTTATATGTATGGATCACTTGGGTTGTTACCAACATCTGGTGAAAATTTCATGTCATTAGCACCTCTAGTAATATATTTACTGAGAAAAAATGTTGACGTGTTCAATACTTATTTTACCCGCTGTATATGTGGTATAGATTTTGTAAAAATAGAACAAGTCAGTGGAATGTAATTTGGTTGCAAAATACTTTATTTTCCCTCAACTTCTGTCTCTTCAGTTTCTGAGAAAATTCTTCTTGTTAAATCTGCTTAAAACGTCCTTTGAATAAGCTATTAATGAACATTAAGAGAATTTGGGATCAGTGGAAATTAACCTCAGGTGTAAGATAATATGACTCAAAATTAAAAATTACATTTTCTGGCAAACGATCTAAGCGAAATAATGTAAACAAGTTTGGTTTTGTTGTTTTGACACGGCGGCTCAGTTGCTGTTGCCTTTCRACTCAGATTGCTGGATTGAATCTCAATCGGGACCTTTCTGGGTACTTCGCTTGTTCTATCCATGCACAGGCACCTGTGACCCCTGTGACCCTGAAAAGAAGAAGCAGGTACAGATAATTGATGGACCCTCTCTAATTGCTTCCCCAGGTTTTGTCACTTGGAGCTGATGTTCTTCCAGAGTACAAACTCCAGACGCCCCGCATCGACAAGTTTACAATCCTCCACTACAGCCCGTTCAAAGCTGTTTGGGACTGGCTGATCCTGCTGCTGGTCATCTACACGGCCATCCTCACTCCTTACTCTGCTGCGTTTCTTCTCAATGAGCAAGAGGAGCAGAGGAGGCGTGAATGTGGCTACTCCTGCAGCCCCCTTAACGTAGTCGATTTAATCGTGGACATCATGTTCATCATCGACATCCTCATCAACTTCAGGACCACCTATGTCAACCATAATGAGGAGGTGGTTAGCAATCCCGCTAAGATAGCCATCCATTACTTCAAAGGCTGGTTCCTCATCGATATGGTGGCAGCAATCCCTTTTGACCTGCTCATCTTCGGCTCTGGCTCAGATGAGGTTTGTTGTCTTTAATGCTGTGTTTTGTTTTGTTTTGTTTTTCCTGTGTGCCCCAGGAGCACTCCTCAGTGATGTTTTTTTTTCTGTCAGTGCAAATAGCACTTAAATTGATATATAT